TTTTTGTTAACAAATCAGAAGGCGAATACAAAGTGTTGATTAAGTTTATTTTGGCACACCACTAAAATGACCAGCAGACAAACCAGCCACACAGAGAAAGGGCAAAGCAGCTGGCGAGCGAGTGACACTGGCGAATATACTAATAAGATTAAAATGTATATACTACATATATATACATTTTAATCTTATTAGTATATTCGCCAGTTCACATCGCTCGCCAGCCTGCTTGCCCTTCGCTGTGTGCTTGTTGTCTGCTGGTCATTTTATGGTGTGCCAAAATAACTTAATCAACACTTTGTATTCGCCTTCTGATTTGTAAAACCGTCAGGTGCTATCTAATATCGACTGTCTGGACGAGCAAATTATGAAGTCTAAGAACACGTTGAATACCGATCGTCACGAAACTAGTGATACTTTGGCCATAATAAGAGAACGATACTGCTTTCGAGTGTCGGAATAAACATCAATTTTGAAATACAGACACATCCAGTTGACGAATTCCAAAGCGGAAAAAACGCACGTGCTAGATTCTACTGCTAATCACCATCCATTTTTTTGTCCCCTTTACAATTAATATGTTTGATGCAGTAATATTTCTCTACATCCCAGAAAGAAATGTAAACCATGATCTTTTTTTGTCATATTTCAAATGTCCATGATCGTACTTTGTTTTGTATTATTAGATTATTTGAGACTTAATAGAAATGAGAATGGAGATATTGTTTACCCAAAATGAACAATAGTTAATATTACAAATTAACTGAACTAGCCTGTCATCACTGATTTTCTTTATACATTATTCAAACTAACAACTAACTAAATTGCCTCAAATTAGCATTGGACCTTCATAAAACGATGATAATTACATGATATGCCTTAATCTGTGAAAATATCACTTTTGATATTGTTCTCAGTGCATTATTTCAGCCTAAATTCACATTCAGTCTTTAGCGTAGATCTGTTCTTTGGTAACAGGACTTCATTCCGGAGTGTAAAGTTTAAACAAACTTTAAACCAATATTTTTCAAGTGTATAACGTTCTCATTACAAAATATTAAAACAGAACACCGACTGGCTACTATTTGAAAACTAAAGCAATCTTGTGAAACAGAGTTAGGCAAAATATCTTCAATCCTTCGCTAAAATCACTCGAATACACTTTTTGTTACCTTACGTCAATGGCCGAATTTATGGGTGAAATGATGTACACTAAACGTTCCTAAATGCATTGATTGTATTTACCATTAAAATTCTTTTTACACTTCATTAGTTAATTAATCTAGGCATTGTGTCATTTATCAGAAACCATCAAAAAATATTCTCATGATTTGATCTAGCTGTACTGCAAGTTTTGAATGCCTTATTTTCATGTTAAATAACTTTATTCCGCTTAATCCTTTTAACATGGCTTATGACATTATTTCATAATCTCATCAATAATATGTATAAGTTGGTCATAACCGTTATGCTCGTCAGTTGATGTGCTTAAAAATACTACGAGTTCACCTTAGTCAGTAAACGAGAGCTAAGAGAAATAATGCAGTGACACGATACGTTGCCCCATCTGACTGAAGAAGAAGTGTTGATATGGCGTAGAAGGTGTATTCTACAAGCACCCAGAAAATATGAAGTTCTCAGGCACATAAAACGAGTTTATTTATACACCATAGAAACGTCCTTGGGAGAGCCACAAAAATGACGTACTAAAATAATCCATCAACCAATGACAATCAAGGACTTTCCGTGCGGGAGATGTAATGATCTCAAGGCCAACTGATCAGCCCATGAATAAAATCCGAAATTAGGACCTTTATCCATTGAGTTCTGGGGATCTAACGTCCCCAACAATAACCATGAAGAATATTATGATTTCTATCGGTTAAACAATTCCTCTTATCAGTCAGTTCACGCAGTAATTGATTCACAATCAATAGAATTTCTGTTGTTGTTTTTGTTGTTGTTGTTATTACTTCCGAAGAAACAATTTCATGCCAAACGTTATCAATAATGATTGACGGATATATTATACAGTTTTGCTTTACTTTACACAATGTGTGAATGTATGAAGCATTTTAATCAAATATTTACATAGAATATCCCTAATTTTGTACTGATTACCTAAGAGAGATTTTATGTTCAATTAAGTTTTCAATTATTTACAAATACTTACTCAAACAAGTCTAGAGAAAAGAAAAAAACAGACTTATAAGTTTGAAAATCTTTGATTACTTCGATTAATATCTTCATTGAATTATTATAATTCCATAATCTTCTGAATGAATAAAAACTGTACATGTTGAATATTTTCATAATCTGCTTTAATAATAGTTTTCAGTTGTAATTTTTTTTCTAGATCCAGATGTTGAGATAATGAAAAAAGACTGATTCATAATGATTTATCAATAATAATTACCTCATGTTCTACCACTGATAAATTCTGGTTCCTTATCGAATGATAAGGAACAATTTTTTTCGTAAGAATTTCCTTCGAACAAAAGCAAAGAAATTAAATCGATAGAACAAAAAATCTTTTCTAATTCTCTTTTTTATGATATTATTCAAATTATAAAAAAATAGTTTCGATAGTTTACACTTATTTGTTTTGATCCAACACACGATATATTAATATTATTATTATTGTTAGTAAGTAGAAGTATTTAGATAAACTGGAAGAAAGAATGTTTTACTTAAAATCTAACTTTTCAGGCATTCAAGTAGTACATTCTCAAAGATCCATATAATTACATTACATTTCATTTCTTTCTTTTTGAAGTAACTGTCAGTGGATTTGGTTACTTCAAGTGGTATCCGTCAGGGATGTCCACTCTCTCCATTCTTGTCTAATTTCGTCACAGACATGCTTCTAGATATAAAATTATCTTTGACTGAATTTTCAGGCGTAGACCTTCTACTAGGAGATTCATTGGTTGACTTAGCATATGCAGATGACATAGTTCTACTCGGTGAAGATGCTAACTTACCTGAACAACAATGCAAACATATTCGGGATGCAGTTCTCTTCGTCGAAATGCAAAATGTTGCTTCAAGATTGGTTTGTCGCGGCGATTGAACTAGTGATAGGGAGTGAAGCAGTTGAGCATGTTGACCGCTTCACTTATCTCGGGGTCTCATCAGTGATGATGGCCTGGTCGCTGACGAAATCTCAGCACGGATACAGAAATCTCGATTGACTTTTGCCAACCTGTGCCACTTATGGAGCAGGCGAGCTATCCATCTGCTAACCAAAGGACGAGTTTACTGCGCAGTAGTGCACTCCGTACTTCTTTATGGCTGTGAAACATGGCCACCATGAGTAGAAGATATTCATAGGTGTCTTAGAAGCATTGCTCGTGTATCGTGGAACAACCGAATAAGCAATGCAATTGTTAGGAAACGGGTCCTAGGTAAGGATGGCACGTCAATAGATAAGGAAATGAAACTTCATCATTTGAGTTGGTTGGAACATTTGTTGCGTATGCCCAACCACCGACTGCCCATACGATCGATGTTTTGTGGTGTAGGATTACGTTGGAAAAAAGCTAGGGGCGGCCAGAACAAAACATGGCACAAATCCATGCATTCACCAACAACTCGACTGAGTCATTTTGGTAAGTGGTGAATAATATCGTTTAACCCTCTCAGATTACTTCTAATACTTTTACTACCTCTATTACCATGGGAGTTGAATAGATAATTACATCCCTGTGTTAATGTGGTATGGCAACATGAACTGATGTACGTACGTGCATAAGAAGTTCTACGTTGCTGTTGATGATGATGCTTTCTTTTTTGAAAAATAACAATCAAACCGCCAATTTATTTATCACTCGAAATTCGAAGATGTTACTGTGATGATTAACTAATGGTTTATTTAACTAAACAACTGAATATTTAAGATCATTAAGAAAGTTTCAATAAACTTTCTCGCTGTTTAATTACTGGATTACCATCGATAGGGTTCCTGTATCAGAGTTCTATGTATTTTTATGTAATATATCGGTTTATCCCCGCAGGTCTCATAATGGGAGAGAACAGGTTTCCAGTCTTTTGAAGCTGATATACGTTCATGAAGGCTTTTTAATGCTGAAAATATGATTTGTTCAGGTAGCATCAAATTTCAAACCGATTAATATCAGTTCATAAACATGATGAATTTTATTTCTTTCTAGAGATTACATCTAGTGACAAGGATTGTGATTTATCAAAATAATCCCTTCGATCTGTTCGGTGTATGTCATGCTTATCTAATTAAAGAATTTCATACTAATTCCCTGGATTATAAAACTGAAATTGATGAATTCGGTTTTGAAAGACAAAATTTGAACTTTTTTGGGACTTATTTCAGATTTGATATTCTTTGAATGACATTGATTGATATAAGTTGATATAAGTAGTGTTGTTACATAAATTATTTTTTTTCTAACCCTGAATCTTTAGTTTCAATATTATTTTCTACTTTTTTTTATTTCTTTTCGAACAGTAGTCTCTGTATCTAATCTTCCTTACATTCATTGATACCAAGATAATGTTAATTCATTTACTATGTGGCTTGTCAATTTTGCCTTATGATAACATAATGGGCACCTTGAGGCGATGTTTACAGTTTTCAATTACTGTACTAAAGACAACTGAGTGACCATAATCTTAAAATGAGGAAACTAATCAGTATACTTCTTATCTAACCATAACTTGCATAAATGCAATATCTTTTTGCTTTAGCGGGTACCTTCCTCAAGTAGAAACGTATATGATTTCTGACTCATGTTTGACTTATCTATGAGAATCTCTCGATGAATATTATCATAGGGAGTAATCGCTATTCTGAGTTGTTCAACCGATTTTTGACGAGCAGGTCACTTTAGGAATAAATTTAATACCTAACTTGAACTGACATACTTAATTTTTATTAAGTAATATCACTTTCACTATTGTAACACATTCATTGATCTTATTTTGTAGGCTGAATTACTTTTTACAGCCTGTACTTCTATTTTTTATTTTCTTGGACAAAAAAACACTTTTTATATTCATACTACTTAATTCAACAAGTAGTGTTTTATAGTAAAGAAAATTTGTAATGGTCTTTGGTACAGTGTACTATGTAGGTAGAACATTTTTTTAATTTTGTGGAATTATGTAAACATTTTAATTGTATATATGTTGTATGCATGATGAACAAAATGTTGGTGTAGGTTTTATGGACTCCTGGCAATGAGGAGGGAGAACAAAAATTAGGCAAGCTAGAGTGCATGTTCATACAGATAAAACATAAAGTAATGTCATGTGTGCTTATCTGTTCTTGTATTCGATAATGTGGATATTCTATGTTCTAACAAAAACAGTTTAATTTCCTAATCATATCATTTGTCGCGTAGTATATTTGTTCTCATCAAGTGAGGATTAGTAAATTCATGTGGAAGTTTGGAAACTTTAACCCCATGAATGTCATCTGACTCACAAAAATCATCTTCATCCTCATCGTCTTCACTATCCATTGGTTCACAATCCTCAGAGTCCTCTTGACCAAGTCCACCTTGACTTTCAGGATAGCTGATAGCTGATTGTAGACTCCTATTAGCTGATGGTAAGAATCCTCCTGTAATCATTGGATCTGATTGCATATTGTTACCTAGTAATTTTGGAATTAGACCTGATTTTTTATGTAACGACAATGGTTTACATTCAAGTTGACAGCTGTCTTTTGAATCAATAATTCTTGGATTAGAAGTTGCTGAATAATAATTATTACTGTTGTTTGAATTCATCATTTCAAAGAATTGATGTGATGAGCTCATTTCACGTCGGCTGTGGTGAATTGGATCTGTAGTGGTTTGGCGAGTTGTTTCATCGTTTAATTCTTTGATTTGTTGACGTTCTTTTTTCAACTTCATTCTTCTATTTTGGAACCAAATTTTGATTTGTCGTTCAGTTAAACAGAGATTATGAGCTATTTCGATTCGTCTTCTTCGTGTTAAATAATGACTGTATTGAAACTCTTTTTCTAATTCTAATGTCTGATATCGACTGTATGTTTGACGTCCACGACGACGCTGAACTGAGTTTGGTCCTGGTAATGAAATTAAAAAAATTGAAATACAAAGATTACTAAGTAAACGCATTTGATTCGATTAACATTAAAGTTTATAAGCTTGTAATTTATGATTAAATGTCCAAAACAGATGCTAAACTGACTCTTAGTGATCTTTGAAATTTCTGGCAACTCTATAATTTAATAATCCAAATGTTATCCATATTGTAAATGTCAGATAATTTTGAATACTTGAAACAAATCATATTTCAGTGTGTGTATTATGTTTTCAGATTCGCTCAACTCTTACATCCAGATATAAATACTATTTTTAATTCCTAACAATAATTTTTGACTGTCTTTTCACCTTAGTAAGTAAGTGAATATTCCCAACGTCACTTCGGAGTAGCTTGAAGGACGTCCATAAATTTTAGTCACAGCATCACATTACGATAAGAATGACAGTGTATTTTTAGTACAAATTGGTTACTGCTTAAATGATGCAAGTAGTGTAAACTAAAAGTATAAAATTTATCACTGTCGTGAATAAGGAAGTCGTTTTCGGATCAATAATAAAGCGCCCAATCTAGCTAATGGGAGTTAAACAACCTTTCATCATCTACACATATGACATTGATATAGGCAAGATCCGATTAAAAGACATTTCGAAATTTCGCTTCTCAAATTTAATCAAAATAAACGGTGCGAAATTGAAAAAAGATAAAATATTTTTACATTAAATGATTTGATTTTGTTCTTAAACAGATAACCAAACCTCACTTTGTAATTTCTTATTGAATTGGTATAATGTGCGACTACAACTACTCTTAATCTCGGTAAAACAAATAAAACAATAATTATTTATTAGCAAATCGATCAATCTCTCTAATAAATGTCTGAATGTCATACCCCGATTTTCATAGTTTAGATCATGACCAATTCATGACTCTAACTATGAAAATTCTGCGAGATCCACAAATCAACTTTCGTCCCTTTCAATCATGTGCTCAGTAGTGGTTATCTTTCAGAGGAGCAGTGACTAGTGGATTTCAAACATACCGGATACGAGACTGCCATTCACTGTCGACAACGGATGAGAGTTTCATAACTACCTGAATCGATTTAAGTTGGGCCAGAAATTTCTAGTTTACATGGAAAATATTGCTAGTGATTTACGGCTAGGTCGTATATTTTATTATACAGAGAATGGCTATTGAACAGATATAAGTAGTATAAAAAATCTGTAAACATATTTGGCTCACTGCAGCAGCGGATAACTGTACCTAGATTCAGACAGAGCTGAGATTTACACGAATTAAAGCGAAAATTTAGCAAACAAGCTTAACATGCTGAATATGTTCAACATGCTTATTGAATACCAATGAATTGTTTTGAACTAATTCAAATTCTGTCAGAAATATATTGATATGTTCACAGCTAAATTTCGACATTGTTCCTATTTACAAAATCAGTCCGGTCAATACATTTAAATTTAAGCAAATAGCAAGGGATGCATATCATTTTTTGATTGATGCTTTTATGACAAAATACATGTCGAATTCATTTTGTACACAACAACGAAGCAATAATACAGATGAAATGCAGCTTTGAAAATCATTAATTTGAATAATGATTATACGTATATATCAAGAATTTCGGAAATTAATTGATGTGGTGAATTTTTTCTAATCTGGTAGGAGGTTGCGATCTCTGCTTATGAAAATGAATTTCTTAAGTAATGAAAAAAATTCACATCAAGTGCTTTTGTTTGTTTTATAGAATTTGTCTTCAGATAACAAGAATCATTGCATTTATCCTGCTTCATTAGACAATTCTACATATTACAGTGAATCTAAATATATACCTTGGGTCAGTTTACATTTGAAGTGTCAATTAATTTCTTTTGAAACTTTTCAAAGAACCAGTCTGATCTATCTATCTATCTATCTGTTTATCTAACTAATACAACAATCAATGAATTCTTGATTTCAAGTTATTTCACATGCACAACACTTGTAATACCAAACCATTTGAAATTTCAAAAAGTTGGGCTTTTTTTTCCGTTAAAACCAATAGATCAAATTGCTTTTATGTTTGTGAAACTTCAATTCCCCTGTCATCTATTTTTGTAACCATAACAACGAATTCTACTCCCGTATAAAACATTTAATTCTCTACACCTTAAATGACACATTTAAAGAGGAACACGAAAAAAATAAATATATATACATATATATACACCTCCAAATTTAAGACATTGAAGTTTGACGAGAAAAAAATCAAAACAAAGAAAGTAGTCGCCTTGTTTTTTCTGTGTGTTTTGTTTTGTTATAATTCTACAAATTATTTTTTGGTTGATTTTTACTTAAATTTCATTTGAAACTTGAAAAAGACATTGAAAATAAATGTTTACTTAAAGAGATTTTCATTCTACAAGTAGATCATTTTTGATCATATATTCAGTGATAATAAATATGATTTTCTGAAACTAATACGTTTTTAAACTCATAAACTCATAAAATAGTTTTCATGTTTGGAAATCGATCATGATATTAAGTTAAGGACGATAGTACACAGAAATAATGTTGTATTCAACTAACTTTCCTAGTCTGTCGTATAAATGTGTGTACCTACCTATTGGTAGGTGTGAATACAGGAAGCTTAACTTAATTCTTTACACAATAAATCTCATACGAACTACTTACTAAATATAAATTAATTTTCCTATACTTAAATGAGTATATTCTATATGTTTAAAAATCTTTAAGTAACGAATTGTTCTGAGCTTAATCTCACTGAAATGATAAAAAATATGCAAACGGTGTCTAAATGGTAAATCGTAATACTAATAATTACCTTTCCCAGCCTGAAGATTTTTTGCATCATACAGTTTTAGGAAGCCGGTTGTTCAAGTCAATAAATCAAATTTGTCAGCATCTGGAGCCGTGCTCCATCACTATTTTCATGTGACCCGATATCTTGAAGTCAATTCTTAAAGGTATTTCAGCTACATGCTGCTAAGTGGCCCCTTACTGGAATCGAACATCTATCGGGTGCTTAAATGAAGTCATTCTAAGATATTAAAAGTCTTCAAAGAAAATGTTAGCTGGAAAACTGCAGAACGTTACAAGACAGTCGTGCCTATTAATAATGAGATCAACTTAATTTATTACAGTGAATTGATTACTTGACAGATATAAACAGCGAATTTCATTTACATACTAGTTTGTCACTAACACTATGTCCATCAACAAAGTTAATTGTCCTTTCAAGAGATTAGTAGATTAGTAACAACGCTTTGTTTTTGTTACGAATTTTCAATATATATTATATTGATTAAAAGTGAATATTTAATTTTATCAAATACTTATTGGTTAATAGAAAGTTAATGTTTCATCATACAATATTGTTGCGTTACAAGTTGAAAGTTTTACTTGATCCAAAGATAATCATTTACTCTAAGAAATTAATACTGACGATTTATGTTAAATATGGAGAATAAAAGTAATATTCAATTTTAGTGGGATAAATAAATATGCTCGATTAAATATTCAATGTAAATATGTATTAATGACTCTCTTTCTTAATGATAAAGTAGTCTAATCAAATATGTTTATATATATATATATATATATATATATATATATATATATATATATATTCAACCTTAATATCAGATATATTAGAAGACATACTTTATATTAAGTATAATATCAGATCATATGAAGAATTGAAGAGATTTCTAAATCCCATAGTTTGACCGGTCTTAGGCAATCATTGTAAACGAGGAAATATTGAGTATCTATTTTTCTCCTCAAATGAAACTCTTTAACAATATACATCCTCGAACCAAGGAACTTCAGGCCACCTGGAGGGCGCTTGGACTTCAAATCACTGGGTTAGCACCTAAGTGTTTGCAGTTCAGTCAATTTGCGATAGCATATGAATTTTGCGTTCACTATGGGAGGGAGATTTCAACCTCTGTTGGTTTCGTAGCTGTTGACAGGTCCTGTATTATGACGAAAAAGCTGTTCACTGCTTTCTGGTCTACAATGATTGTCTAACTAAGATCTACACCTTAAGAAAATCTATAAATATGCTTAGCTGAATGCTGATTATTTTATTAAATCTTATTGATTTGTTACATTTACAACGAGGACATTTGTTAAATACCAACCATCAAACAGTACGTAGTATCGTATTTTATTCAGATCAAGAATTATACAGTCTTTGTTTAAACTTATCATACAGATGATTCGTGTAAAACTTGAAATCATTTAATGTAAAATATATTTATATAGTAAGTTGAAATTTATTTTGAAAACCCATTTCTGAAGGTGAAGGACTGCTTGTTTTATCTATAACGCCTTCACTATTACAGTTATCTTTAGAGATTTGGGAAAGTTTCTTTAAAATTAACAAATCAACTTGTTTTTGCAGCCGAACACTTGAAAGCACAGTTTGCAACATGTGCTGAATTAAAATACAGAGTCTTAATCGATTTCACATACACATAGTATGAAAGTTCGATCGATATCATCAAACAACTTTTTTTGGATTTCAGCAAAAATATAATGATCGGCAATCCGGTTCAATACCTTACATGAAATATTTACAATCAGCTAATTGAAATAAAGCCTTCAGTTCATGTAAACGATGCTTGAAACGTACAAAATATAATCTAAGAACACATTTCAGATCGGTCTATTTTTAAGCCAACTCTATTTCTACAAACAGGGAAATAAATAAATGAATTCTGTTACTTGTTTACGTTACAATTTGATAAGATTGATAGTTCGGATCAAAAACAGACGATTTATACACCCGATAGATGAAATATTTATCATAGTCACATGTTTGCATTGCTTGTATCTAAAAGTAACACATTCCAATTGACTTTTTGACTGACTAAAATAATGACACTTCAGTAAATTAAACTTAAATATATAATGAAATTGTACAGATATATCAAATCTTTTAATTGTTAAAACAAGAATAAATTCATAATTATAAACTTCTTTTTGGACGAAAATCAATAT